TAACTAACATTCAGTGAAAAGTGTACAGACACTTTTCTGAGCCTTTTATGTGTCCATCCATGAGGTATGTAGTGTTATTTTACCCATTTTACAGGTAGAAAAACTGAGGCTCAGTGAAATTAAGTGACTGGGTCAAGGTCAAATGAATAAGAAGCGCCGGAGACCGGACTCAAGCCTAGGTCATCCAACTTTGGGCCCCTTGACATGGGAGCCAACAGGTAGAGAGGGAAAGATATTCACAGAGGCAATTTAGATTTAAAGTAGAGATTTACCCCATTTTCTTATTTTAAACAAGTTTCTCCCCCTTCCCTAACCCCAAAGAGCTGTAGACAGGAGGGATAGGCTCTGGAATTATAACTAGCTAGCTGACTTTATTCAAGGATCTTCATCTCTCTGAGTCTCAGTTCCCGCATCTGTGAGAGAGGATAATATGCCCCCCACAAAGTCACAGTGGCTGGGCATGCAGAGTCACCACCACTGGACCCCACAGAAGTCAGTGCTGAGGGGAGGTTGGGTTCTTGGAGCCACCTCATGAGCTGTGGGGCCCCCAATTCTAAGAGGTGCCTCAGAGATGCTAAGTAGTGGGAGGACTGGGGGATTCTTAGGAGTGTCTAGGGGCTGTGAGCACACTCCAGGCTTCTAGGGGTGTCTGAGACTTATAAGGCATGTCTCAGAGCCTGTGGGGGGGGCATTCTGGGGATGCCCCAAGGATTGTGAGTACATCTTGGATTCTGGGCATAGCCTAGGGTTGTAGGCCTGTCTTAGGAGCTGTGGAGGAATCTAGTTGTGCCCCTGGGATCTATGGGGGGCACCCCAGGATTTTGGTGGCATCCCCATGGTTATGGGAATATCCCCTGAGTCCTAAGCCACCCCTGATAATGTTGGGTTCTCTGCACTTATGGGGGCATCTCAGGAATGCTGTGGAGCTACTAGGGGAGGGGATCTGAGGGATTGTGGAAGCCTTCCTGAGGCCTCTAAGGGACCCTAGGATTTGGGGGGGGGCCCTCACGGAGATCTGTGGGAATGCTCTGTGGCTGTGGGGGATTCTTGGGGTGTTTGGAGGGTCTCTGCATGACTCAGAGATGGTGGGACTGCCCCAGGGGATTTGGGGGACATCTGTGGAAACATAGTGGTTGTCCTGGGATCTGAAGGGGTTTCTCATGGACTCTCAGAGCACCTCTGGCATTTGTGGGTGCATCCTGGGATTGTTGGGGTGCCCCTGGAGTCTGTGGGCATGTTTCAGTAACAATGAGGGGGACATCTGGGGAGCTGTGAGAGTGTCCGGTGTCCATGGGAGCCTCTCAGAGCACCTTTGGGTTTTGTGGGGGAGCCCATGGATTTGGGGGTACCTCTGGGTTGTGTGAGGACAGCTCAGGGATAGTAGGAGCACTCCTTAGGATTGTGGAGATCTAAGTCTGAGGGACTCTGAGGATGACCCTGAGGTCTGTAGTACCTCTCAACATCGTGGAGGCTGTGTATGTGTGAGAGCACCCCAGAGATCTGGGGGCATTCCAGGTGTTTGTAGAGATGCTTCCGGCGGTTGTGAGGACAGCAGAGGGACTCCGGAGGGCCCCTGGCGTCTGTGGGGTGTCCCCGCCGCGGCCGCGTGGGGGCCCCTGGCCCGCCCCGCCCCAGGGGCGGCCCCAGCGCGTAGCCGGAAGGGCCGAGGCGGCCGGGAGGGGTGGGGCCCGTGGGCCCGTGGGCCCGCGGGTAGGGCGGCCGGCGCTGTTC